TTGTGTGTGTGTGTGTGTGTGTGTGTGAGAGAGAGAGAGAGAGAGAGAGAGAGAGAGAGAGAGAGAGAGAGAGAGGGAGAGAGGGATACGTGAGATTCAGGGCTTCGCTCCACAACTCTCCACATGCACAAAAGAAAAGAAAAAAATGACGGTGTATCTTTCCATGTTCTAGCAAAAGATTCATTCTCATTTTGCACGTTTGGAGAGTAGTGCAGCGACGCCCTCATTCACGTTTGGAAATCCAATGGACCGTTTCAAGTTTCAACGGATTTCTTGGCACGTGTAGTGGAGGTAGCCCAGCTCACCAAATGTGCAAAATGAGAATGAATCTTCGGTTAGAACATGGGTAGATACACAGCCATATTTTTTGTCTTTTGTGAATGTGGTGAGTAGTTGAACGAGACCCTATAAAGGGCATCGAACATGGGCCTCGCCCGACTACGCACCACATACACAAAAGACAAAAAATATGGCCGTGTATCTTCCCGTATTCTAGAGGAAGATTCGTTCTCATTTTGCACATTTGGTGACTGGGGCTCTCTCCACAACGCATGCCAGGAAATCCAACAAGCGGTTTCAAAGTTCAGCAGATTTCGTGGCATGTGTAGTGGAGACACCCACTCACCAACTGTTTCAAGCTTAGGTCACCCCGAAAAAGAAAAAAAAAAAGCTTCTGTCACTTTCTGACAGATTCTGCTCGGGTATAAAAGGTAAGTTTCTGGTTCTCTTTTTCTTTTTGCAAAAGCACCGAGTTCTTGTCGTTTTCGAACTCCCCGAAATGGGAAGAACCAAGTTCAGCCAACGCACAGAGATTGCCTTGCGGGCCAAGCACGGCCCCCCAAAAAACAATTCCTGGCCAATCTATCATTTTCCGCAGGGCTTGGGAGCTTCAATTCAGCCCCCCCCTATTTTAGCCGTTGCGGCGCACCACATGCGCGAGCGACGTGCGCAATGCGGAGGTGCGCCGCGGCACGTGATGCGCCGCAACCATGAAAAATACCCTCACCAATTTTCACCTTCCCACCTTTGAACAGAGCGAGCCCCCCCCCCCAAAAAAAAAAGTGGTGGAGCAAGGCCCAAAAAATCCTGATTCAATAGTTAAAAAAGATCCAAAAAGAAAACAAGGTTGTGCAGAAAAATAAACTGAACAATTTTTGCCCCAGGGCCCCAGGGTAGAATCAAAATTCTTTGCCAAATTAGAAACGAGTTCAAATAACTTCAAATAGAGATTAAATTAAGAAGTAACTTTTTATTTCTATTTTTTTCATTTCTTAACACGTTTTTGGGTTGGCTTGACTCGGCTCGGCCAGGCAAGTGGTCCCCGGCCACTCTGGTACCATAGGTGTAAAGCAAACAGCTTCCTACCTGAACCACATTCTGGCCAGGGAACAGCTGGTTATCGGCCAAGTCGTCTGTCGGGCTGAGGAACATGTAGATCATGACATGATAAAGATCTGCCTGTGATCCGGTCACCCACTTGATGACGATAAGAATCGAAAGATATCCGAACAACGACCCCAGGAAGAGCATCTGGGGAATAAACTCGTACCTGCACCGAAAAGGGACAAGCAAAAGAAAAACTCAGGGAAACCCCCCCCCCCAAAAAAAAAAAAAAAAAACTTCATGTGTGAGGCCATCAGCACAAAAACTTGAGACAACGCCTGCTTTTGCACATACAAACAAAAAGTGACCTATTGCGGTACCCAGCCCATGTCCTACTGCACGATCATGTCGAGAGCTGAGTCAGCGACAGTTGACGAAGCGTTATCGAGAGACGGCAGTTGCAGGGTGAATCCTTCGACAGTACTCATGTTATTTCGTGAGAGTGACGTGAGAAGTGCTCACGATGCTCGTGTATTCCAAGTCACCGATGGAGTCGAAGGAGAGAGTGCTGTTCTTTTGGAGACATACGAGCTTTTGCATTACATGTGTGGATCCAAGCGTATGCGCTCTGCTTGTGTGATGTCCTAATCATCGTTCCTGGAAGCATGGATGCGCTATCGAGTTCTCTCGAATAGCTATCACATCTCGCTTTCATTCATGTGGCTAAAAAGCCGTTAAATGGTACACAAACTCACAAGGCTACTTTTGAATAAACGGAGGCTGCAGTTAATAAACAGATCATCATCAGTTCCAATCCTCAGATGGATAAGATAACCAGGCAGGGTAAAAAAACAAACAAACAAACAAAAAGAACCAAAAAAAGGGAAAAAAGAAAAAAAGATACCCAGGCAGGGTAGTTCTTAGCTGGTACACTTACGGGGTAGTATAGTTGGCCCCTCCTTCCTATGACCCTAAACCCCGAGTACATATCTCAGGGTCGGCAGTGTTGGATTAAAAAAAAAAAAACAGAGAGATAAGAATATAGAGTGGTAAAATGCAGCTGTCCCCCATATGAGGAGAAGGCAGCTTGCATTTCCTTTAAAAAACAAACAAATCCGCATAAACAACCATTCAAACAAAAAAAGACAGGCATAGAAAAGGCCATGAAGTTTATGTGAAAAAACTAGGTAAGTTTTTGCACGCAGGCCTTTTCCGCAAAACTATGGCCAAAAAAATTTTCACTCCCTGATTCTCTGCCCAAAAGTTCGAACTCGCAACAAATCGATTAAACTTAAAGGAACTGTTGAAACTTCACCGAAGGAACTGTTGAAACTTCACCGAAAAACACAGTTCGAACTCGCAACAAATGGCCTATTCTCGGTGGTCACCGAAAAACACGGTTTGAACTCGCAACAAATGGCCGATTCTCGGTGGTGTTCGAACTCACAACAAATCGATTAACTTAAAAATCAGGGAGTGAAAACACGGTTCCAACACGACCGAGAATGTATTAGTCGTTGTCAAGGGCTCAGTTGTCATTTGAATGCCGGTTTGATCTTCCAACTTACACCACCACAATAGGATTTTTTTCAGGACCACCACTACTTGAGAGGATCTACATGTTTGCAAAGTTGAAGTCACGGCTAAAATAGGCCAGGAGCAGATGTGAGGCAATGATAGACTGGGGTGGCAAGGAGTAACACACACAGGTAGAGAGAGAGAGAGAGAGAGAGAGAGAGAGAGAGAGAGAGAGAGAGAGAGAGAGAGAGAGAGAGGAAAGAATTGCCCGCACAAGTGCGCTGGCGCAGAGGGGGGAAGAAACCGCGTACCAATGGAAAAAGACAGAAACAGACGAGATACGCACATTGCAAAAGCGGGAGAGAAGAGACCAAGGCGCGAGAGGCAAGTACCACCGAGTGCCAATGAGCTTAGCTCAGCTAGTACACACCCATAAACTGTTGACATGCAGACACGAGTTCACATCCCAGATGAAACCAGATCAACGGCGGAACTCCTGACCGTCATCAGTTTCACGACGATATATCAAGGCCGTCGGGCAAGAGACGAGGGAACGTTTGTGTTAAAACAACAGTCCATCTTCGATAATGTGCAATGAATGCGTTCTGTTAATAAAATAAAAAAAAAAAAAAAAAAAAAAAACACTCCATCCGGAACTATTTTGACACACTGTAGATTAATGTAGATTTTGGTCCAGTACTCATAGACAAGTACAATGACACTGCGTGAGCCGGTTGAGTGTTTTTCTTTTTCCCTTTTTCTTGTTGTTTCTTTTTTTAAGACGCTGGTTGATGGTAGAAGCTAATAGGAACCAACCAGACCTTGAATGAAAGACTGGAAAATATTGCAATGAAGAAGCTGAGGATGATGAAAACAAACATTTGATTGAACAAAGATTCATACTTCAAAAGCGGGAGAAAAGAGACGGAGGGGAAAGAGAAAAGGGAGTGATTGCATTCCGTGGGTGGATGGTTGGCTGAAAGGAACAAACCAGACGTTGAGCGGAAGGCTGAAAAATCTCGCATTGAAGTAGCTGAGGATGATGCCAACAAACATCTGAACAACTCCCAACAAGATTGAGAGCTTCATCTTCAACGAATTGAGGAACGGAAGCTCAGTACGTGTGCCATGCCAAGCCGGGTCGACGCCAAACGGATACACACGATGGCCATCTTGGATCAGCCCGGCTGTAGAATCATCCCTGAAAGGACACGTTCATTCCGAAAAAGGCAATATTCATCAAACAAGTTCCTTCAACAGTAAAGACGGAACTAACCCGCACAAATAGAGACCCCCCCCCCCCTCCCCAAAAGTTGAAAAGCGCGCTAGTTCCAATACATATTACATCATCCTTCAAAACATCAGTTACAATTGGAACAATTCTGAGAAGATGTGAGACACGCATGACAGACACACATCACGACAAGAAATGGTCCAGATGTGAAATGGTATTAACGTGGGGATGGGTAGGGTAGGTGGCCTATCCTGTCAGGACAACCATTGGCTGCCGCTACCAGCAATCACTGCGGGTCTGGTCCTTGGCCTAGGGAAAAAAAAGGGAAAAAGAAAGACAAGAAATGGTCCAAATATTATTAGAAAAAAAAGACAAGAAAAAGCATGGACCCAACAAGTATAACAGTAAATACCAACATCGGACGATTGGAAAACCACAGCGAGGGCCCAGGCTTGGTGACCGCTCATGCAACCGTGACCAGTAAGTTTCAACTTTCAAGCGATGCAGTAGATATATACTAGATTACTAGGGAGATATCCCGGTCGCCCGGGTCCCGACGTCACGCCTGGTGTGGCGACCGGGTGACCGGCCGGGCATGACCCCCGGGCATGGGCCCGGGAAGCCTCAAAGCAAAAACAAAACAACAAAAAGAAAAACCTAAAAATCTGGGGGGGAAAAAAATGTTGTGTAGAATTGCAATATAAAACTTTTGGCTGAGGGTCACATCAGAATTGCTCACGGAACTGAAGATGAAAAGAAAAAAAAGCCAAATCACACTAAGGCACCCCCCTTTACCCCCCCTTTAGCCCCTTTAAAATTCATTTATACTCCATTTCCCCCCCCTTGACAGCCAACTCTCAAAAAGAGAAAGAGCCCAGATTTGGGCTCCTCTCGGAGAGCGCAGAAAAAAACCACCGCCATTTTGTTTTGTTTTTTTCCATGCCTGGGTATCCCGGGCGTCGGGTCCGGGTGACCAGCCGGTCCAGACCGGCCGGTCATGAAAATCTTCCTAGCTAGATGACCTGTTGCGGCTTCGCTTGCAAGAAAAGAGAACGGAATGCCAAGGTGGAGGGTCTATTTTCCCCCCATTTCCTGAGGTAGTTGATTATAGCTGCGGTTTGTGATTTTCAGTGGGAAGTCATTCTCACTCCCTCCTTTTTTTTGTGATGGAAGCAGTCTTTCCCTAGTGTGAGAACGCATGCACGCCTAAAAAAACAATAATAATAACTCTTTTATACTGTTTACAGTGTACTCTTTTTATTTCTCATACAAGTTATAATATATACATTAAATTCATCAATCATATTCACTTAAAAAAGGAAAAGTATATCTAATTGATGAACAACTTAATTAAAAAAATAGGTAGAAAATAATATTGCAAGTAATCTCCACCAACGCAGCCTCTGCCGGAAATATTTTGACTACATTTTCTTTCGAACATAAACACCGCTATTTGATTACTAATCATAAATTTGAAATAATCGCTTGTCGCTAGCAAACAGCATAGACCCCAACCGAAACAATTCTGCACCCCCTCCCAACCCTCTCTGTCTCTCACACACGAACACACACATCCATGTTCCAACACGTCACCTATGAACTCGAAAACCAACTTGCGAGCAACTCACGAGCAATCGGGTGTATTACACTTCGAAGCCGAACACACATCCACAGATGGGAGGAAGAGGGAAACAGTACTCGTTATTAGCAAAACCCACTTACGAGCAATCGGGTGAACGGCACTTGAAAGCCGATTTTCCAAAGAGAGATAAATTCACTGAAAAGAACTCGTTGTATATCAAACCAGTGTAGATTGAGAACATGGCCATCAACAAAATACAGTATCGACCACCATACGCCATCTCCATGATATCGCCAAGTTTCTGCACAGACACAGAGATCAAAACAAAGCGGTGAGAAAGATGGAATCACCGTGCAGTCTTCGACCGAATAGAACACACGGTCGTTATAGCTCTATTTGGAGCAAGTTCCAGTCCAGGTACAGCAATAATGACCACACGTTCTACTCGGGGAAGACCATAGTCAATCGAGCAACCACATAGACAAACAAAAAAGCAAAGCAAGGAGGGAATAAACTGACAGCAGAACTTACACAAGATGAACAAGCAGGAAAAAAAAGACACAATTCCAAGCCGTAAAGCCAATTTACCACTAGTACTTACGATATACATAGAATAAGACAGGCTCTACGGCCACATCCGTTGAATGGAGTCCAGTTCTCTGGGGAAGCAACACTTAAGCAAAAGGGTGTCATAGGTAAGAACTACGTAGCATCGTTTCGCATTCCGAGGCAAACACGAACATGTTCGCCCGAACACAAACAAGCGCCCAAAACCCTCCGAACGCAAACATAAAAAAATATTTATTAAAAAAAAAAAACAGAAAAATCTGAAAATATATATATATGTCATGTAAAACAACAATACAAGGAACTTTTGCCTTGGCATCATGTTCAAATTCTTAGCCAAACGTGAGTTACAACTGAAAAACCGACCGAACACGTTTGCGAGCCGTTTGCACGGACGCGAAGGGGCGTGAACATCTTCGCTGTGCTACGCAGGGTAAGAACTTGGCTAAAAGAGAGGGGAAGGGGGGGCGGGGGGCATTAGACACTGCCTGTGCTATCTAGAGTGTGCACGACTAGATCCATACGCTGGGGAGCCAAGGTAGAATCGGGGGACAATTAGGAAGTGCAAGGAAAATTAGCAATAGCGAGATGACAATATCCCGAATGCACAATCACATTGAAAGCCGGAAAGTATCACAGTGTCCAGAAAGCAGCATTGCACCAATATAACACCAATGGAGAATCATAATTGCCACCACCAACATAAAGAGTCCAGGCCGTTCTCCCTACTTTGCGCTTGGCAACCAGCCTACTGCCTACAAAGCTACTGTCTGCCTACTGATTGACAATGCAACTGTTGATGTCAGCAGCCGACGAAGTACTTGAAGATGTCGCCCAGATGCAGACCATCGCCAATACCAGGTATGTGCCCTCACATCATCATCATCATCATCATCCTTCTCTATCTCCCTCGTCTTACACCCACGTCTTCCCTCTGTACACCTGAAGACCACATCTGCGCCTCACTGTAGTCCAAGCCTCAGCCAGCTATGGAGGCTGGGCTATGGCGCTGCCCTCAGCAGCGCCCTGCTTCCTGCACGACCACACACACGCAGCACCTTGCCCTTAGCGCACAGCAGCACGCGAGCCTTTGCTCCAGCAGCGCTGCTGCACAAACTGGCAAGTGCCTGAATGAGCCTTCAGGCAGCGAGCTCTTTCCTATATGGAAAGAGTCTGCCTGCCTCGGCGGCCTGGCTGGGCTGGGCTTCTGCCCAGATGCTTCCGGTAGTTGGCCCCAGGAGGCTGTGCCTCTGTTGCAGCTGCTGGGCCTCGTTCGGTTGGGCCTCCCAACTGTCTGTGTATGAAGCTGCGATTCTAGCCCAGGGCCTGTATTTCAGGAAAAGGCCAAGAAGGCCGTGCCGTGGAAATATCTTTGCAGCTCGGGCCTGGATTCCCTCAACCAACTGGCACGTCACAACTGCCTGGACCCCAAATACGAAATTGACAGCAATGGGCCTCTCGAGATTTGTTAGGCCCGCCTTCACTTAGGGTGGGCACATCTGTATCAGGGCCCCTTAGGCCTGCCGAGGACCCAGATCCTCGCAGAAGGGGAAAAAAAGGAAATCAACTTGGGTCATAACTAGTTTTTTTTTTTTTTTTAATCTCCCTGCCTGAGAACTCCCTTCCAGAGGATGCATATGCATCAAATGAAACATTTTTAGATGCTTCCCTGATTATGACGGAGTACAAATTGACAGCAGCAAGTTAACACAAACTCAATTGATAATTTGATATCCTGTATTATCATCATAACAGTAAGCAAATTCTTCCTATTTAAAGCGATGCCCCAAACACCTAAGACAAAAAGAAATGTTAAATATTTCACTTAAATCCATAATCCAATAATTGTATTTACTGGGATTTTGTCCCTGTCATCCCCGCTTGTTGCATGTGCGATGCATATATCCGCCAGGGATGATTGCAAGCCCCAAAAAATTTACAAATGCACAGTACTAAAAACTGGACGTGAATGTCCTTCGGGACATCCGTTGAAATTGAAACGATACAGAGAAAGAGAAGATTAGCATGGCCCCCGCACAAGGATGACACGCATAAATCGAGAAAAGGTCCAAATTTTTTCAGAAAAAAAAAAAAAACGGACGTGAAAGTTCTGATCTGAACTGACTTCCAAGTTTCTTCTCGATCCACATCAACACCATACATCAGACATGGATGTTTTCAAGCCCCAAAAAACTTACGAATACACAAGACGAAAAACTGGATGCAAAGTTTTTGACTCACCTGACTTCCAAGTTTCTTCTCGATCCACATCAACACCATACATCAGACATGGATGTTTTCAAGCCCCAAAAAACTTACGAATACACAAGACGAAAAACTGGATGCAAAGTTTTTGACTCACCTGACTTCCAAGTTTCTTCTCGTTCACAATCAACGCCAGACAGGCGATCAGCATGAGTATTCCATGTCCCCAATCGCCAAACATAATTGCGAACAAGAAGGGAAATGTAACAATGGTGAATGGCGCAGGGTTCGCTTCCTGGTAGTTAGCGATCCTGATGACAGCGCCAACAATCATCGCACAACAGCAGCAACCGACAAGGGCGAGTGTGAGGACCATTCCCATGGGTCGTAAATGCAACACGCAAAGTCGGCAAGATCATGTCCATCCATGCGAAATATTGAATGTGTCCGATTCCACACAACACGCCGACAACAGGATGACCAAGATAAAATTCAACGACACATTCACTCGTATACATTCGGTAATGATATCTATTTAACAGGAACAAAGGCAGATACGTTGAATGTGTCTAAGCACAGATCACAAACTAAGTAAGCAAGGGCTGGCACCAGGCCTGCCTCGGACTGACTGGGTGCCCCAGCCGACCCTGATACGGACATGGTCCAGGGAAACCCCAGCACACCATATATATATATTTTTTTAATCTGGAAAACAAAATGCTGTGTAGAATAATACTAGAATTGCAATAGAAAACTTTTGTATTAATGAAAGCAAATTTTGGCTGAGGATGACTGCAGAATTTGGTAATTAATTCACTTACTAGGCTACAAAAATGGCAGGGGCAAGTTGCCCGGCTGGGCAAAAGAAAATAAAAATAAAGAATTTCAAAAGCATATAACTTTTGCTTTGTTTATTTCTTATAATTTGGCAAGGAAGTTCCATGTGACCCTTGTTTTTTCGCATCACATAATTTTTTAGATTTTTTAGACTTTTTTTTTTTTTTTTGGCTGGGCATTTCATGGGTCCTCGCACGGCCGGGCCTCCTGGTCAAACAAGGTGACCTGGGCGGCCCGCGTCTGGTAGCACATTTTACTTATGAAATTCACAATAAAAAAACACAGAAAATACAATACAATTGAATAAATCAAATAAAGATCCACCAACAACTTGGGCGAACCGGGCGAGTTGCAAACCATTTCTGTTCTCTGAAGGTGAGCAGCAGCACGCTTACCCGTATGCATCCACGATCTCCTGGAACACATCGGTGAACTTATTTGTCTTGAAGTACGTTGGCGGTGATTCCTTGGTCTGAATTGGCTGGAATATGGTCCCTACTTGGGCATTACTGTCCATTGCAGCACGGTGGAGTGCATCTTGGATCTGAAGTCCACAAAAACACACACACGCACACAGAAAACAAACACACACAGACACACATGTAAACAAACACACGCATGTACACACACTGGAGTGAGTAAAGTGGGGATTGGTATCGCTAACTCTGGGCGATGTGCCGAGTCCTTATCCATCAGTCAAATGCATCCTGGGAAGACTGTCAGTCCAGGTTCAAACTCCTGCCTGACGAGTCGGTGAAAGTCCGACGAAAAAACAGTCTGGCAAAATCATGCTTTTTTTGAGTGCATAGCGAATATAACAGCACACATGTAAACAAACACACGCGCACACACACACACACACACACACACACACAAACACACACAAACACAGGCAAACACAGGCAAACACAGGCAAACACAGGCAAACACACACCGAACACGGAACACAAGAAACACATGCGCAAACAAACAAACAAACGTAAACTCATGCTTGTTCTCAGACAAACACGAGGAGGAGACGATACAAGGGCTCGTTCAAACCGTGCCAGTAATGCCCACCATACCATATAAGCTCCCTTCACTACATCAGGACTACCAGACACAGGTGGAAATTATCTCATTTCAGAAACAGGGACTTGATGGAACTCCCAGATCCAGGAAAGACAAGGACAAATAGCACAGAACTGTGCACAAGTGAGAGGTAAACATACCCTGGGCTTCGCAAACACTGGGCACCACGCCTCCGCTATAAGACACTTTCTTGTGACGTCGACACTGAGCATGTTCAGTGTGTGATAGACGGCCTTTTCTCTTCGCACCTGTCATTAAAATACCGCCATTCCAGCGACAAAACACAACCAGTGGAACAGAGTCATCCAAGCCCAAGAAATACCAGTTAGAAAGCAGAGCTCCTCTTTTTGTCCTTTTACGAAAGCACAGTTCGTCCATCCACGTTCCGAAGCAACAGAAGAAGGGCTTCGCTCCACTACTCACCAAATGAACAAGACGTGAACGACTCTTCCGCTAGAACATGGGAAGATACGCCGCCATATTTCTCATCTTTTGAGCATGTGGCGAGTAGTCTAGCGAGGCCCATAGCAAACATACATACCATGCACAAAAATAGCGAGAGCACAAGGGCTTGGGACGAGACGGGAAGAGGAAGAGGATCACTACGATACAACAGTCGGCAGTCTGATCAATCTCCATCCTATTTAACATTGCAATATATAGTGTGGTGCACATTTACTAGCAGCACGGAACTACAACCACAACGCAAGTTTGAGTCGAATACCGCCAACCAGTTAGCAAATTGAGCCAAATACCGCCCGCCATGGATTGTGTTTTCCTTTTTTCCAAATCTGTTGAAGCAAGTATTAATCAGTTGTTTCACAGAGAGTGCAGGCAATCGTTGTCAACGGAACCTATTCTAGTTTCTAACTTGTAAACCTCACAGGGTGCCTTGTGCATTGTTGTTCTTTGTTGCAGCTCTGCAACATGCCAGTCATTCTTCTTCTTCTTCTTCTTCTTCTTTTCTTTTTTCTTTTTCTTTTTCTTTTTTTACTTTTTAATTTAATATTTTCTTTTTAATTTCGGACCATTTCTCGATTTATGTGTGTCGTCCTTGCACAGTCGTTCATCTTCTACGTATCAAAGGCAGTGACGTTGCACAGAGTACAGAAAAAAAGTTGAAAAACACAATTCAGAAGGTGCAGAACGTGAAAGAGCATATTCCGAAACAGTGACCGGAAAAAGGGAAGAGTAGCAATCGCATTGCTTAATCATCATTGCCTCCAGGTGCGAAATCCAATGGGTCCGGCATTCGCAAATCAATTAGAAAGTAATATAAACCAATTGTTTGGTGCAAGATGAGCTAAATACATGATACCTCCCATAGACAACAATAGTCCAAGCAAAACTACTCAAAATCTTCACTAAAGTGACTAAACTTAGTAAACTAGGAATTTTTTTTTGCATGTGTTTTTTTATCTCACTTTAACCATCGAACCTGCAAACTCCTGATTGATAATCAGAAACCTTTCGACAAGGAAAATGAAGCTGGGATGAAACTGAAGCTCGCAGATGCGATTTTCAGCCCAACCCAGCAGCATGGTCGGTACACATACAGCCATGACCTGGTGTACCCAGTCACATCAACCAACTGGACACTTGAGCCTAAGCTCAAGAGATTTTGCATGCCGACCAGCACGGGTACAATATTTACAGCTCAAAGCAAGCTGGATCGAAGCTCACTGCTTAATCATTGCCTCCAGGCACGAAATCCAGTCGTCCGAAACTCACAAATCATTTTTTATAAATGAATTCGCAAATGTCCGACGGCTACAGACCTCCACAAGAAGACCACACAGTCAATTTATAGCCAAAAAAAAAGAAAGTTGACGAGCTGGATGCAATCGAGGGCTGTAGTGGAAGTTGACGAGCTGGATGCAATTGAGGGTTGTAGAGCGGTGCACAAGTCGCTGTCAGCCCAAAACTACAACCATGAAGCAAATATGTCCAATGCTGCCATAGATTGATTTTTTGTTTTGTTTTTCAAAATTTGGACCATTTCTCGATCTATGCGTGTCATCCTTGGGCAGGGCCCATGCTAATCTTCTCTGTATCGTTCCAATTTTAACAGATGGCCCAAAGGACTCACTGCCATAGATTGTATTTTCCTTTTTTCCTAATCTTCTGAAGCCAAAGTACCTACAGTGCATGGGTCCTGGGGACCATCTCACGCAAGTGTGTACATGCCATGCATCGTACTCCCACACACAATGAACAGTAGTCTCACAATAGACAAAGATAGAGAAGATGAGGACCGAGTTTCACAGCTTATATTATCAGAAATATGAATACAAAGTGTTTCAAAGTTCCCCTGAGTCCAGCGCTCATCAGCGCAACACCAATATCTTGCCAACTCATCAATATGACTTCCAGTGAATCAGTGCTACCCCTGCAGATAGTCTCCAAGTCATCAATGTGGTCACTACTCATCAGCGCCACCTCTGCAGGTCACATCCAACTCAGGTAAGTATCTTCCATAGCCAAACCTTGAATGAACACTCTCAGCCTCAATCCCTTCCTCCTATGATGCATACACACTCTTTAATACTCCTGTCTCTTATACACATCTAGATGTGTATAAGAGACAGCATCCAACTCAGGTAAGTATCTTCCATAGCCAAACCTTGAATGAACACTCTCAGCCTCAATCCCTTCCTCCTATGATGCATACACACTCTTTAATACTCATGAGGATCTACTCTGGATACTACTCATAGCTACATACTAACCCTCTACTACTAATGCTAACTCGCTGGGCAGCTATGGCTGCATCACTTCCAGCGTACAGGCTTCTTCCTCCCTCCAGCGCGTCTTCTCCTCCAGCGCTGCTCCTCCTGACTCAGCGCACAAGTGCACCAGCACTTCCACGCATTGCAGCCAGTGGAGATCTGGCGAGGAATGAGGCAGGCACCTCTTTTTGTAGTGCTGGCCACTCCTCGCTGGGTCCGCATTGGCTCAATTCAGCCTCTCCCTTTGTCCCAGACCCTGCATTGCATGTGTCCCAGTACAGTCCCAATGAGGTTCAACTGCTGCTGAGGCACTTCGGCCTGGATTTGGACTTGAAAGTCTGGATCTGGACTGACCCCTTGACTTAGACCAGAACTGGGACTGAGCCTACTGACTTCACTTTCGGACAGGCACAACTCTAAACGAACAGACACATTTACTACTTGAACAGGCACTTTCCATTGCACGAACAGGTACACGTACAGACACACCCTTACCCGAACAGACATGACATACACATCTCCTGGTGAACAGGTAAGTCTTTTGACAATGCCCTTTGCCTTAGATTTAGATGTGCCTGTTGACAGAGAACTTGACCTTTGACCTGCTTTCACGTTTCTGAGCCCTGGCGAGATACCTTTTCACAATGCTTTACTTTTTCAAGGCCCGTGTTACAAGACCTGAGGCCTGCATCGGGTAAAGACCCTTTTAACAGCATCAGTTGTTTCTAGAAGAGTGCAGGGTATAGGCGTCAACCGATCTTATCCCAATTGCCAATTCTTACCGCGCTTTACGCAATTTTCTTTTTTGCTTCCGCAACACGGTAGTGATTAGTTAGATATTGCAGAAACAAACAGCCGGAACTCTACGCAGTTTTGTTCTTTCAAAAAAGAAGAAGAAGAAGAAGAAGAAGAAGAAGAAGAAGAAGAAGAAGATAAAACGTGGTAGTGATTCATCCTCTAATGTATTCCAGTGAATGCACCACCACCATTTGAATGCTTCACTCGGCAAATGCACACTTACCAGCACAATCCATTGTTCCAACTGATAGCCAATCGAGTTCAGCACACTTGTGCGATGCTCCTCACCCATATCAATAGTCAACTGAAGCTCACTCAGTCGCTGAGAAACCTGAATTCGATAATAAGTGCATATATCAAACATACAAGGATTAGTTTTTTTGCCTTTTTTTTAACTTTTTTTCGACTCGATGGTCCTTATTCCCAGCTATCCCAAATGGGAGCACAAGGTAGATGGCATTGTTCCACACTGTTCAACACCCCCATGCACATACACATTGAGAGATCACATGAAATCCATAGCGGAGACGAGAGATGCAAAGTCCAGCTTAGCGCAGCTTAGAAATCCCAATGAATTATCACATTAAAAAACAGTTTCAGGGTTCCCGCCACCAGCGCTCATCGGCACAGAGTTCAATTCCCATATCCAGCATCCTCAACCAGGTAAGGGACTCTCTCTCTCCCTCTGTCTCACTCTTGCTCCCTCTTCTTCATGCTCTCTCTCTCTCTCTCTCTCTCTCTCTCTCTCTCTCTCTCTCTCTCCTTGAAGATCTTGACTCTGGATACATCCGCTACCACTCAGCTCTACTACAAGCTTTGCGGCTGTGGCCGCCTTCCTTCCTCAGCACAGCACTGCCCAGCCAGGGCTCTGGCGCTAGCTACTCGCAGATAGCGCACAAGCGCTTCAGCAGCACTTCCACACTTCTTGCGACTGAGCAATCTGTCTGAAATGTGGCCGGCCAGTCCTTATGTTGACTTGGACTGATCCTTGACTCGCCCCAGCCTCTGCTTCTTTTGGTGGACCCGGTACCGGCTGCCCACAGCCTGTTTGCTTCAGAATTTTAAGGCCCGGTACCACCCTCCGTTTTCCTTGGTGTGCTGCTGCTTTTGGGTCTGTGGGACGTGACCTTTGACTCTGGGACGTGACCCTTGCCTGTGGGATATGACCTCTGACTAGCAGACGTGACTTTTGCCTCCTGGATGTGACTGTTGACCGGGTACCTGTTGGACTTGACCCCTGGGGTATTCAATGTGACCTTTCTGAAACTGGCCGACCTCGCCTTTGGGGCCTGGGACTTTGACCCTGTTGGGGTCTGCATCGTGAAATGCCTTTCAAGCTGAGTACGGACGCCCCCCGGCCGGGCCCGGGCAGGTCGCCCGGGCAAACCGGGCAGGCCAAAAAACAGCCCAGAAATATATATTACCGGGCAGTTCTGTCTGTGACGATATATATATATATATATTGTCACATCACTACAAGCTAAAAGAGCGCACTTTGCGGAACAAAGAATAAAAACAAAAAACGGGCACAGTGATAACATGCAAAAATAAAAACAAAAAGAAAAAACAAGGGCAGATTGAAACCATTAAATTTCTCATTCTTCTTTGAACTCCACCTCCACTGTGCCTCTCACGTGCAAGGCTCGCCACGTTGATGAAGTTGAGCGCGAGCTGCCCCCATCCCCGTATGCCATA